CACTCACTTTTCCTTTTTATAGTAAATTCCTCATGATTCTTTGTGAACGTGGTGTATTGCTGTTGTCATCTGGTTTAGCTACCCCCTACTTTTCTTGGGATGCTGTTTGTACCTCGCAAGTAAGTTTAATTCTTTGGCTTTCTCTAAATGTTCTCGGTTGTTGCTCCTTTGCTTTCACTCAGCCAGCACACTTTTTTTTTTAATTGTACACGTAAGAATTTCTGGCTTGGGAACAAATGCACACACTCCCCTTTCCCGCCTTTCACTCGGTGCTACAAGCTCCCCCAGTCTCTGTTCTTGCTGTACTACTCTGTCCATTCTCTTTACTGGCACATATTATCTGTGCCAGAATGATTTGTTAATCCCACTGGGACTGTAACACTTCTCATTCTTTAACTTGAAATGGGATTCTTTTCTACAGCTTTCCTACTGTACATCTCTATCAACGTTCATTTCTTCCAATAGAGGAGATGCAGTTTATCTTTGAATCAAGTGGAATTTTTTTTTAACGTCACCATGGATTCTTTTTAAGCAAGCTCTAAATGATAGAGATGCCTGCCTTCTAACATTTGTAGCTTTTCTTTCGGAGGGAAGTAAGGGCTTTCTGCCACCAATGGCAGCAGGCAAAAAAAAAAAGGTGGTTTCCTTTTGTCTTCTTTTGTGATTCTTCTTCTGCCTGTCTGCTGTCCAAGAATGCAAAAAGGTACTGTATATAGTTAAAAAAAAGACAACAGCTAAACTTCATTGTCAGCCCAGGTTCCAAAGCATCACAAAGGTTGTCATTGTGAATCAGTAGAGAATTTCAAACATATTTTGTCACATGATTTGGTGGGAGAGGAATTTATTGATGGAAGAAATACATTCAGGTGAGTTTGGAGTCTCACCCTGCTCTTAGGATCCATCCCCTGAATCTGGTAGAAAAGGCCAAGCTTACAGATGCTGACTAATGTATATCCAAATATGTACACCGCTGTACCTATATTTATTTTTGAAATTATCATATAGGAACATGGTGGAGTGGAAGAAAAGGTAGGATTCTTGACGTTTAACCCGTGCTCTATGTTTATTGTTTAATTAAAAAGTGTTATTGTTTAATATAATAAATGAAGAAAGTTAATTATTTTGGAGCATTTGAGACTCTGGGATGGCTTTCATTTTTTTTTGTCAGACCAGCTTTTATTTTGGTTGATACGTTTTTACATGTCCTAAGTTCTTCTTGTCTACTGACAGATACTCCCTTCCTTCTATGCATTATTGTGCTAGGTACAGCTCTCTGTAGAATTCAGCCAGAAAATTTAGATGACCCTTCCCCATATAAAACAGACAACAGTCTCTACCCCTAGAAGCAATCCTGACTTGGTAGTGAGAAGGTATCTTTGGTGTTCAGTTGGGCAACCTCAGAATGTAGCTTAAATATGTTAGACAGGAGATCTCCAAAGGAAACAGGTGATGAGAAAAGCATCTTTCTCTGAATGAAATTTTCCAAGATCATTGGGAAATTACCAATTACCTTTGAATATACCGTGTTTCCCTGAAAATAAGACCGAGTCTTAGATTTTTTGGAGGGGACCAAAAGACCCATTAGGGCTTATTTTCAGAGGATTTGCAGCCGCCTGCCCACTCCTTCCCACCGTCTGGTTGCTTGCGGCCGCAGCGGGGCAGGAGCGCGTGCATTGCACCCATGCTGCCGCCACAAGGTGAGGCAAGACAGGTGGAGGGGATGGAGCTTATATCAGGCCCACCCCAAAAAAATCAGGCTAGGGCTTATTTTCTGGGTGGGTCTTATTTTGGGGGAAACACTGTAGGAGATGGATAATCTCCGATTGGCCCAACATTCCAATTTTGCATTTTAAACAGCTATTTCCAAAATGAGAAACACAACGAGATGCTTCCGCTGATATCAACATAATATGCCTTGCAGGTGTTCGGAGAGTACAGCAATACATATACTATACTATTCTTACATTAGAGTGCAGTGATGTCCAACCTTGGTAACTTTAAGATTTGTGGACTTCAAGTTCAAGAATTCCCCAGCCAGTCAACCCTAAAAAATAATCTTAAAACTCTGGCACTGTTGAGATTGATGAGAAGGGTCACCACTTTGCATCATCATCTTGTTCCCCAAAATTTGCTCCAAAAGTTTGCCCAAGCCTACTTTGTCTAACGAACTCTTCAAAATGTTTTAAACCAGTGTCTTTCAACCTCAGCAACTTTAATATATGTGGACTGGAGAATCCTGAGAGTTGAAGTCCACAATCTTAAAGATTGTTGAAATTGAAAAAGTCCACTTTAAATCATTGAAATGGGGAGTCAGAGGAAATATTGCAAGTCAACTTTCAACTCCAGAGAATGTGAATAGTCTCCATGAGATTTGAAACGTTTTAAAGTTCTCGGTGGTTAATATATTTTTAATTAATGTTCATTAGTTTATAGCAAAGTTCAAGCACAAATAAGGAGTTGGCTAGCTTGTGTGAATCACCTCTGCAAACATATTGGATCTAATCAAACTGGGGTATAGGTTGATCTCTGTGGGTGCAAGGTTTGGAGTGAGCCTTCCAACTTGTGAGAAAGGGACTTGTGGTCAAACAAGCCTCTTGAAAGAAGAAGTGTAGTTTTTGAAGACACAAATATTGCTCTTGTAACACTCTCTGCTTATTACACCACTACATAAACCCCAAGCTGCTTTTGATGTCTTTGTGCCCCGTAGTTGGTGAAAGAGGAGGAAAGAGGAGGAGGAGCTGAAACAATTTCAGTAATCGGAACGATCATTTTAGCATATCTTTCATACTTTCTGGAAGGGATTGTGCAATGGTTTCTTTCTGCAGTGAAAACACAGGACCTCCCTCCCACCATCAAAAAACAGCAAAATCTTTTCTCCAGGCAGTGTTTTCAAAAGGGAAATCTACTTTTGTTTTGCCACTTTAAAGAAATGACAGGATTTCATTGTTCAGAGCAGAGAGGTTATTTCTGCAGCTACTTTAAATAACTTCCCAGTCATTTTCTGCAAGTGTGTAATTGAAGCGCTAATTTTAGTAATGTTGTGTACAACAGCCCAACCCTACATGCAAATTTTAAACTTGTTTTCCTTTTCTATCTTTACCAGTTAACCATTTAAGTATTGAGGACGTTAATTGAGGAGATCTGACCTAGGAATGACTAACCAAGAAAGATTTTTGCGGTTATGGTGGAACATTCAGTGGAAATGTCAACCCAAATGCAGAAGCTGTGAAAAAAAAAAAAAAGGCAAATTTCGCATTGGTATAATTATGGAACTAGAATTGCCAATACAGCAATGTAATACAAACATACTTGGAATATTGTGTAGAAACATCCTGGCAAGGAGATTGCAGAAATAGAAAAAAGTGGCAATCAAAATGTTCAGGGATATTGCAGTTTCCTTATGAGAAAAGATGATGTAATTTGGAGCATTTTGATGTTTTTTGTTTTTTTTTAAAGGTGGCTGAAGAAGGAGTTTGTAAAATTACCGTATGTGCAATGTGGGATAAAATGGGTGAAGAGCCATGTTTTTCCCTCTCACATTTGAAACCCTGGGTCACTTACTAAAGTTGAAGGTTGGGAAATTATAATCTACCTGGCCACCAATTCAAATAGTGTAAAAGAGAAATTTAATAGATATTCAACCAGTCAGAATGCTTGGGATCAAAGACACCATGCTGCTGAACATCAATGTTTGGGTAGTAAATAGTAGTCAGCAGTTGTTCTCATGATCCTGTTCTGTTCTGATTGGCCATGGTAGGGAATAGGAGACGTGACAAAATCTGTTGATAGGGTCTAGTTCTACTCAGTACTGTATAATCCTTTATTTTGGCTCTAGAGCCACTGAGGGGGATATAAGGGGAATCTTCAAACATAATAGTGAGAACTTTCACATACCTGGTGTGCCAGGCCTTTCCCAATCTGGTGTCCTTTAATTGTCCTATAATTCCTAACATTCCCAGCCCAGCATTACAACCTGGCTTTGATAGGACAACATATCCAACTCACCAGGGCAGCAAAGAACCAATAAATTGGTTGAACCCCATCCTTTTGGATCCTGACTTTACTTATGACTGTCAAATCTAGACAGCAAAAAACTAGATAACACCAGATGATAGCAGAGAGCTACAGAACCTCTCTTTGCTGCCACCTTGTAGTAACCTGGATTTTTGCAGCCCAGATCTAGTAGTCCTAATTTAACTTCCGCACTGTTCCTATGCTGAGGTAGATAATGATTTATGGAATAGTATGCACGTTGGGACATTCCATCTCAACAAGCATAATGGCGATGGAGAAGCTCAGAAAAGACAGCTAAAAATATGACCAGAGATCTGCTGTAGCAATGAATGGTTTTGTTTTAGGGAAAAATATGAAGAGAAAGTTCATAAAGATTCCACTTTCTCCTAAAACCTGGAACTTAAAGCATTGTATGGTGGTTATACTTACTTGTTCAGTTTGATTTGTATGGCCATCCACTTCCTGTGCAACTTAACATCCAGTTAAAAAACATTAAAATCTATGAGCTCTAGGAATTGGGGGTCATTTTAAAGATGTATCTTTACAACCTACTTATGAAGAAGTCTTCCTCACAAATTTATCCTGCCACCCAGGACTTGAGAGCAAATACAGTGAAAAGATCATAGATTAAAAATCTATAATTACTGAAAAATGATGTTTACGTTCCAAAGTTAGAAAAAAATACCAACAAGCAAAACCGCCTACAGGTTTACTGCTGGCACAGTTGTATCTACATCTGGAAGAGATTTGAGGGTGCTACCAAAATAGCTATCAAGTAAACTAAAAACGAGACTCAAATTATAGCCTTGATTGCTTTTGAACTCAAGAGACAGTTTTGCTACCAAGCCGTCCTATGGCGCAGCTGAGACATTGGTAGAACAGCAAAGCGGCTTTTAAGACAAGCCTGGTTCATCCTGTCACTGAACTTCGACATTTGACTCTCAGCAAATGACTTTTAAATAAGGGTGAAAGACGCATCAATTCAAATTTATTTTATTTTAGAAAAGTTTTTTTTAACAGCTTTCAGAAAATTTATTTAAAACAAAAGAATAGGCAGAGAAAAAAAACCTATTTTGTCTCCTGTTTATATTCCAACTTCATTATAGAACTATTTACAATATTTATACAATTCCGGTCCAAAGGCAAGTTTATTTACAGGACCTGTATCCCAGTAGTTCTAGTTTAAGGCACCTTGAGTGCACACTTTGAGTGTACAGCATAGATTTGGCATGTTCTCAGTGAGAACCTCCTGTCTCAGAAAGTAAGTTTTTGTTTTTGGCTACAGTAAACCTCTTACAGTCCTCAAATACAGCTTATGTTTTGAGCATGGTCAGCTATGTACATATAGCCAGCCCTTTGTCTCTTCTCTGTCATTGTCAGCCATGCAGCTGTTTTGACCCTCAGCCACTCTGGATCATCACTGCGTCCCTCAGGTCTGCCATGGTCATCTCTGTCATCTTTTATAGTAGCCAGCCAGCAGGTGCTGGGGCAGCCCCTCTTTTTTTCTGCTGATCACTCTTAGCACAATTGACATTTCGAGTGTGTCAGCTGTGATGACATGACCAAAATATGACAGCCTCGTGTTTGACAATCTCAGTTTCAAGTAATATTTTTGGTGAGGGTCAGTCTAGGATTTCTTTGTTATTTTTGTGTATAGGGGATGCATAATAGTCACCTCCAGCACCCCAGTTTAAAGGCATCCCCATTTTTTCTGCCTTTTTCAGAGTCCCAAGTTTCGCAGCCAAAAGTAGCAATTGGGGAAATTATTGGGTGAAATAATATGCATTTGGTTGTAAGGTTAAATATGTACTCTTCCACGTGTTGTTCATGGTAGACATTGCAGTTCTTTCAAGTGCTGTCTGCTTTTGATCTCAGAGCTGCAATCGCCCAGTTTGGTCTCTTCTCCATCCTATAAATAAGTCCTGTTCTTCCATGGCAGAAGACCAGTCAGTCAGGTTCTTGGCCTCTTCAGGAAGCACTGGAAAGACTGGCTTCCTCGGGTCGGGGTTCATTCCAAGTCTTTCCATCGACAGACATAGTAGTACCAGCTACAAGATTTCCCCCCCATCCCCAGAGTTCTTCAGGTCACGCCACAAGGGTGAGAAAACTACATGTGTCTCTTCATGTGCAATGCCAGGTGGTCAGAACGGGAGAAGGTCCGGTCACACAGGTGACACTCGAAGGGACGATGCCCAGTATGTTTCCGATAATGGCGGGTCAGTTCATCTGAGCGAGCAAATTTCCATCCGCACCCTTCCCAGTTGCAGTGGTAAGGTTTCTCACCTGTTGCGGGGGGAGAAAAGAGGGAAAAAATTATTGGCATGAGCCAGGCCAAGAGTGACCACCAGGCTCGGTGTTCCTTCTGAAAGGATCTGCCTTTTTCATTTATTAAACTTATATGCCTTATAAATGTAGCTGCCTTTCCCATTATCCTAAGTAGGAAAGGCTGCCAAAGCATCCTTTTGTAAAAAGCCAAAAGTCCCTGTGGTTTTTCTGACAGCTGTATACCTCACACCTGTCCATTGTGATGTGCTCTCTGCTGCCCTATACTCCCTTAGGGCAGGTAAAATATCCATTATGACCTCGGTTGAACCTGCATAACTATGCCTCCCTCTGTGTCCACCCCTCCCGAAATGTGTGCAAACCTCAGGAGGAGAAGGGGAAAACTTTGGCTCCTCTGAAACTTTCTAATTGAAAAGTGAGCTGCCACTTCCTCGAAAGAAACCTACCCGCTTTCATGGCATAATGTGTGGCCAAGCTACTTATTACTCCCTTGGGTCCAAATCCGCCTTCCCTTTCCTCCTAGCAGGCAATAAAGGATGCTTACCTGTGTGAGTTCGAAGGTGTGCCTTCAGGTGGGAGCTCTTGGTGTAGGTTTTTCCACAGCCAGCGTAAGTGCAAGTGTGCGTGGCAGTCCGTTTGCGGGACGAAGAGCGGCGTCCCCTCTTCGTTTTGGTTTCCAGCATTTCCAGGGGGGAGGCAGGTGGGGTGAGAAGGGTCCTGGAGGCCGAGGCCTGGCAGGGGAGGCTCTCATCAAAGAGTCCATAAGGGGAGCCTCTCTGGGGGTACTGAGGCTGGGGAAAGGCTGGGTGGTAGCCCTGCGGGGTGAGAGGCATCAACTGTCCGTGGCGCTTGGAGGCCATCAGCAGGTCATCCGGGCTCATTGGGGGGGTCTCTGCACAAGGCAGCTGGGGAGAGCCAGACAGCATACAGGGCGCCGGGGCGGTCTCCCGCTTGATGTTGGGGCAAACCTGGGAGCCCAGGCCCGGCGGAGGCTCGTAAGTGTCCACGTCGGGTTCCGGTTTAACACTGTCCACGAAGGGCGAGCTACAGCCCACGAAGAAATGCCCGTGGGCGTAATTTCCCGCTTCCAGCTCGGCGGGATCCATCTCGGCAGAGAAAACGGGGCTGTAGGGAGTCGGCGTGCGAGTCCCCATCGGACTGTAGTATCCGGCCGCCGAATGCATCCCGTAAAAATCGTCCGGCCTGGCGTAATCTCCCCGAGGCAGGTCCGAGGTGAGGCTGTTGTCGCTGCTGCCCATGGAGAGGACCAGATCCAGCACGGTGCTCAGCTCTTCGTCCCTGATAGGGACGACACCCTCCATCCTCGACCTCAGGTCCGGCAAGGGGCAGTGGCTGAACGGCATCGCAGCTTCCAATCCGCAGGACCATTGCTGAGAGGAGAGCAGAAGCGGGCGAGTTAGTAGGCGCTGACCCAGTCGGCCGGCCGGCGGGACCCTGCTCGCCCGCCCGGGGGACCTCCGCGCGGAAGCAGCTCCGTCCCAGGCCCGCCTTGACTGGCCCGAGAGATTGGCCTGGCCCGGGGAGGGGTCGGGGTCCCGTCCCCCCCCCCGCCCCAAGACCCCCGGATCTGTTTCCAGGCAGCCTCACGAAGGCGTCACGGAGAACAGAGGGCGCCTTCCCGCGACTCCCCCGGGCCAGAGCCGGCGCTCCTCCCGCGAGGGCAGCCGGCGAAGCGAGTCCCTCCGAGTTCGGGGGGGGGCACCTCTCAGGTTCGATCGGGACACCGGCCAGGGTCGTAAGCCCCCGGCCGAAACTTCCACGCTGGCCTCTTTCCCGCCACCGGGGCAGCGGGCGTGCCTCTGACCATGTGCAGAGAGCCATCCCTCCCTTCCCCCCCCCCGGTCTCCGGGGACACTCACTTGGGATGCTGGGCGGCTGTCCTTGCGGAAAGAAGCGAACGAAGGCAAGCTGGAGGCCGGCATCGCCATGTCTGCCTCGGGGTTGCCCCGATCTCTTGTCTGCAGCGCTGTGGAAGGCCTGGCCGGCGGCGGAGAGCTTTTAAGACGCGCCGAGTAAGCGCGCAGGCCAATGGCGCTAACGGAGGAAACGCGTCTCCGGGTCGGGGGGGGGCCGCTCGGGGGACGTACACTTAGCGCTCCTGCCTGGCCGAGCGGGCCTAAATTTAGCTCCCCTATAAAAGGAGAGCCGCCAGAGCGAGGCCGGAGCGGAGGAAGGCACTCCGGTGGCCGCGGCCGCTGATCTTCGGGGCGCGGCGAGCTATCGGCCGGCTTGGCCGGCCTCATTCCGGGCAGACGAGCCAGGGGCTCGAGCTGCACGGGTCTCGCGTTCCTCGTGCTGCGACGGAAACGCTCGCTGCCCAGGTGGCCTGGGCCCCTGGAGGGTCTTCGGCGCGAGTTTTCCATGTCGCGAGATGCCTAACGAAACGCAAAGTTTCTCGCAGCTTGTGCGAAGCGACGCCGCTCACACACTGGCCTCAAAGGCATCTGATGCCCAAAGCCGGCGCGGTGGACATTTATACGCGTTATCCACATTGTCTCCCCCTTAAGCTTCATTTTGACGTTGGGGAGACAAAAGGTGACGACTTTGACTTTGACTTTGACTTTGTTTGACCCAAACAAAGGTAACCTAGGAGTCCCCGGTCCATCACTACGGCACCGTCTGATCATGTCTCCTCCGTGTTAGAGGGAGCCCGGCAGTCCTGAATTAGTTAATCCGGAGCAAAAATGGTAGAAGCCTGTGGACGCGGGATAGTTAATCTGGATTTGCAGACCACTACCTCCTTACCAATAAAGGAGAATATTTGTAGCACAAGGTTGGGACGAACTGCAAATTTCAACCCCGAACTACAAATAATTCTCCTTTATTGGTACACCACATGTGGCCGTCAAACACTTCAGACAGGACGCAAAGGAGGGGGGTGGGAATTGCCTGCAGGCACCATTCCACCTCACTACCTCTTCGCTTAGCTCCCTCCGTTTGACGTTTGGAAAGGCTGGTGCCTCTGGGCATGTGCGGTGTGCTTTCCCGCGACTACCAAGTGCACAAGCAGCAGGATGAAATAACGGAGTTGCACCACTTTCCAGACGGAGGAAAGTCTGAACCTCCGGACTCAGCCGGTTGCGCGGTTCCGTTTCTTCCCGAACAATTCAAAAGACTCCTTAATAAAGGAAAACCGAGGAGAAATCTTTCCAGGCTCTGTTTGCTTAAAAACTGGGCGTCGAGCGTTGGGCAGCGTTCACACGTCGCCTTAAACCACCATGTGGTTTGTTTCAGGGATTTTAGGGCGTCTGGTAAACGGAATCGGAGTTGAGGGACCAAGGCGGGGCTTAGGGAGCAACGTAACGCCTGAACTCGGCCACTCGTGTGATTTAGGGCGATGGACGAGCCCAGCTTATTGCTTGGAAAATCCCCCGCGCGAAACCATCCCGGCTGCGAGGCAGGGCTGAGAGCACGGTGCCTCTTCCCCCTCTATGTCCCATTGCAACGAGGAATGAAAACATTAACGAAACAGTTAGATAATATTTATATTTATCTAACCCTCCGCTCCCTCGACCGCCTGCCCTTTCTCTCCAGTGAGAAGTGCCCTCCGCCCTTCTGGTGGGTCTCGAGGGGGCTCCAAACGGTTGGACCGGGCTGCTAAAATGAAGCTGGGGCGGCCGATGGGGAGAGGAATCCCGCTCGACGCGTCTCTTGGGTTTTGGAGGGACTGCCCGTCGCTTCTTTCCTATAGAAGAAGCCCCTTGTCCGCCGTCTCAGCTATGGGGCCAGAACAACGGAATGTTAATGGCGGGGCTGGATTTTCGGCAGGATTTGCAAACAGTTGTAAAAAAAAAAAAAAAAAAAAAAGGAAAGTTTGGTTTTGGGTTTTTTTTTTCCCCCAGGCTCCAAAGCAGTTGAGAACGAAAACCAGCGGGCGGCATATAAACAAAACAATGGTGCAGTGATTGTGATTCGGTGGCGATGTCAGGCCGCCTCTTCGCGGCCGTGTCGGGATTCGAACTTGGGGCGGGGGGAGGGGCAGTGAAAGTCCCCTTCTCGCTGGTTGAGCTCCTCAGAGGCGCCCTACGATGGGATTGCCTCGCCGCCACGATCGCTACTAATTCTTGCCCCGCGATCCAGGCTACAAATCCAGAAACGATTTGCCGGCGCGCCAAAGGGGTGCGAAGGGGGGGGGAGTCCAACAAAATCTGGCAGGCGGGGTGGGGGGTGGGGTAGCTGGAAGAAAGGGAAAGAAGCGATCGGAGCGGGAAACACTATCTGTAAAAATAAAACCTCTACAAATCTCGATCCGGACTGGAAATCTGTGCCTTGGGAGCTGATACCCTATTTATCTCCTCCTTTTTTTTTCAGTTCAAAGTTGAGGACTTTTGGAAACTGGGACCCGGCGGGGTTTTGGGTTTTGTCCGGGAGCAGGTGGTTAATCTGTCACAGCAAGAGATAGTCGGAGGGTGGGGGAGGGTCTCCCGGGTCTCCTCCAACTTGAACCGTAGCAGCACGGGGGATCGCAGGCCACCTAAAAGGTCATCTAGTCCAGGGCTTTTCAACCTTTTCACCCATTGTACCACTTTTAGGATATGACACATCCGAGTACCACCAGTCACCTAGCAAGGGGTCAAAAAATTGATGACCAAAAAAAAAAAAAAAGGAAAAAAGTGATAAAGTGCAGGTAGTCCTCGACTTACAACAGTTTGCTTAGTGACTGTTCAATGGCACTGAAAAAAGTGCCCCCCAAGCCACAGCCGAGCAAGACACCTGCCTGCCCGCCCGGGGGTGCTCTTCCTCCTGTCCGAGGTTTTCATTGTTGTGAGCATTTCTGTTGAGGATTGGCAGCGGGGGTGGGGTGGGGGGTGTTTGGTTTTTATTCCCCCCCCCCCCCGTCTGCTGGGTGGTTGCAGCAGGTTTTGGTCACTTCACATGACCCTGGGACACTGTGACCGTCATAAATATGAATCAGTTGCCAAGCATCCGAATGTAAATCACAAGACCCTGGAGATGCTGCAACATTCAGCTCATTCCCCTCCCCCGCTACCACTTTTCTAGGATGGTCCCGAACCACCTGCCAGGTGCCAACGTACCACAGGTGGTACCTGTACCACTGGTTGAAAAGCCCTGATCTAGTCGAACCCCCTTGCCAAGGCGGGGAAAAAATGCTGCCACCGGTGTTCAAAGGCCCTGTTGGCCCACTGTCTCCCACATCCCGGGTGGCTTCGCTGAACCGCGAAGAGAGAGAGGGGGGCGTCCTGCGCGTTCCCATTTCGATCAAAGCATTGGACACGCTCCCCCCAACCCCCAAATCCATCTGTTTCTCTATTAGTGGGGTGAGCCTGTATTGGTACTTAACAGAATTGGTTGCTTCTAAGCCCCCTGTGTCAAAGGCCGTGTCTGGATTCTCCCTCGCCTGCATTTCCAAGATGCTGCTTCTGCAACCTCTCCCCTACTACTCTCCAGGGAAGGACGAGGCTCACCTTTCTCCCCTTCCCTAAACGAATGGGGTCTCCCTCCCTCCGTCCCGGGACAGGGCTTCTGTGTGCAGCGCCTAGAGCAGGGGTAGGCAACCTTGGCTCTTTTATGACTCCTGGACTTCAACTCCCAGAATTCCTGAGCCAGCACAGCTGGCTCAGGAATTCTGGGAGTTGAAGTCCAGGAGTCATAAAAGAGCCAAGGTTGCCTACCCCTGGCCTAGAGCATATGCGGGACTTTCTGAAGCTTCCCTGAGATTGGTCCACGCTGCCCTCCGTTGTTCTCCCGAACTCCACGTTGCAGTCCCCGCGGTTCCTGACTCCGCGAAAACATTGTCTCCATGGCAACGGCCAACTCCTCCGCGCGCGCGAGTGAGTGAGTGAGTGAACTTGCACCACGGTGATGTCAGGCTGGCGTGGAAGAGTTCACTGGCGAGCACTGATTGCCTTCAGGCGGAGACGCCCGGTAACCTAGTACACAAAGCTTGGTGAGTCATGCCTTTATACTTTCACACTTGTGTAATTTCTTTCGATTGCTGCTGGTGAAAAGAAAGAAAGAAAAAAAAAACAAACCAAGACACCCTCTCCTCTCTCAAGCAAATACGGGTTTAGCTCCTCTGCAAAACCTGCAGATACTAATGTCAGAAGCAAAGCCTTTCCGGTGAAAAAAGTCCCTTCCCCATGAACTCAGAATAACAAAATTATTTACACACACACACACACACACACACACACACACACACACACACACACTGCTATCTTGCCTTCCTGTTGGATGCACAGAGCAATGAAGGTACACAGTGGTGCACTTCTCATTATGTCCTCCTCAACAGGAACCCTACAAGGTAAGTTGGACTGCAATTGACTGACCTGGAGCATCTAGAGATGTCCCTCCAGAGAATGACTTGATCCTGGATTCCTGCATACAGAAAAGCTGCTACTAA